AAAAACTCCCTTTTAACAGGAGGGAACGTCTAACAGAACCAGAACCAGGCTCAGTGTGAGCGGCCTTCTGCTGAGTCACTTGGGGGCTCAAGAAGACAGAAGCAGACATAGAAAAGCATCATAGAAGCAATGACCCGTAAGTACTTTGCATGTTAGAGACGGTAACAGTAACTTAGCTCCACAGCTGCCTCTGTCTGGGAAAGAAACAGTTAAGGAGACGAGCTCTGAGCCAGATTTCCTGTCAAAGAGTATGAAAGAGAGCAGATCCAATTAGTCACAGAAAAAAAGCTCAGCCCATAGCTATTTCTAGGAGAAAAATAGGACTAAACACTGAAAAACAGGCCCAGCTCTATCATCTGTAATCTAAGGTTTCACAGTCAAACAGGAACAGACCAGATGAAGCTACTATGATAGAGAAAAACCAGAGAGAAGATCAAGTTAGAGGCAGAATGGGATAATAGGCATAATTAAGCAAAATGATGAAAAGGGGTCCCTATGTCCTCCAGCAGTCTAAGCCTATAGCAGCATAACCTCATAGCTGTTAGCTAACTGGGGGTCCAGGCTCACTAACCAGAATGCCTGGTTCCCAGCACACCGTTTTCTAACCCCTGCTAACATTTACCACTTTCTGAATGTTTAAACACTGATATTATTTAGTCAGATGATGGCTAATTGATTATGTTTTGGTTATTTCAGAATTTTATTTGTTACAGAACTGATGGATTTAAACTTTACTAGAGATATTAGAAATGAATTTCTAAATTACTTATTAGATTTGAATTTTTAAAAAGAAGGTAAAGTGAAGTTTTTTCTACAATTTCACAGCGCTGTCACTGTCGTATGGTAACAGAAGATATGCTGAGAAGGGAGCATTGCTTTCCTGATTACCGCCACCTGCTGGACTGGAGGTATATCATACTTCATCAGATAAAAGATACAAATGTAAGAGTAGATTTAAAGAAGTCTTCCACACCTCTTTAAAGCAGTGGAAAGACAAAATACATAAACCAACTAGAAATCCATCAATTTGATAAAAAAAAAATATTTTAATCATGGGAGCTTTGGTGGAGAAGCTGCCAACAACTTCCTCTAGAAATAAATGAAAGATCTTGATTAAGCATTAAGAGAGATTTTTTCGTTATTTTATTTATAACTGAATAGAAGCAACATAATTCCAGAGTTAAAATTATTTATTTTAAATCGGTCTTTATTTTAAACAAATCCAGGAGTTGAAAAACTGACATTCTTCTTCAGGTTCAGGATCGGAACATTTAGGGGAACAATTTTAGTTTTTACATTTTAAACGGAGACATTTTGAGAGCAGACACATGACTAAAGTGATGAAAGCCATAAAAATACAGCCATTCTCCTGCAGGACTGGACCCTCCTGCAGGACTGGACCCTCCTGCAGGACTGGACCCTCCTGCAGGACTGGACCCTCCTCAGGACTGGACCCTCCTGTAGGACTGGACCCTCCTGTAGGACTGGACCCTCCTCAGGACTGGACCCTCCTCAGGACTGGACCCTCCTGCAGCGTTCTGCTGTCCATAGCGGGTTGTTTGCAGGCTGGATGCAGCAGGTGAACTTCAGGACAGTTAGAAGGACGTGAGATAGAAACAAAACAGCTGAGAGCAACCAGAGAGGTGTTTGATTCCTGCAGGAAAAGCATCAGAGACAGCAGGAGGTATGTGACCTGATTGCACACACACCGCCCCCCCCCCATCCTCTGCAGAGCTGCAGACTGGACAGAACCTCACACACCCACCCCTCCCTGAGAGGAGGCTGCTTTCCATCCCTGATAAGGAGTAGGTTTATATTTAGGGAGAAATTTGGGGGAAGGGTGAAGGACTGTTATATTTAACAGGTGAAGGACCATGGCAGCATACCCCCCCCCCACACACACACACACCCACCCACATACACACACACTACGGGAGCTGGATCAGAACCAACATGGAGTCAGGCCTGAGATTCTGGAGCTTTGGGTCATTCAGGTGGACTCATCGCCATGGCGACAGGGAGCATTGTGATGATTTGTCCAGACATTAAAGGCACAGAGAAATAAATGGATGCTCCTCCAACATCCTTATGCTGCAGACTGTCTGCCAGCTGGCTGAAAGAAAGCTGCCAGGCTGAATAGCAGAGATGAAGATTTGATCCGATTGGGAAAGTTTTTCAGTTGATGAGGAGCTCCATCGCTCACAGGAGGGTAAAAGCCTGTTAGTTAGAGAGCTGATTAACTAATAAGATGGTTTGAAGAAAAGAAAAAATGCTGTTAATACTAATTTATTCTATGTGTTCATTTTAGTTTGTGTCTCTTTGTCAAATAAAAACATGAACAGACCTGGTTCTTTTTCTTGTCTGATCGGACCGGAACCGATACCTTAAAGCAGGGGCTGATTTAGGACATTTGTGGCACTAGGCAAAGGCAGGCAGGGGGCCCTCTGAATTGAGAAGACAACACGTTAAACAGCCCCATTCTACAGATAGAGAAATGTTAATAGAATAGACATCCATTATCTGTTCTAGGTTGTGTTCCTCTCTTCTTGTCCCTTTTCTTCTTGTTTTCCTCTCTATGTTTTGTACTCAGCTGACTTTTCATGCTGTCTCTAAAGGAATGAAAGATTTTTTCCAAGCACTAAGCTCACTTAGCTGATTGCTCCTTCCTGTGTTTCCAAAAAGGCCAAAGTAAATAACCCAGTCCTTCTTTTCACTGTAGACAAGCCATGATCTGCTTATCTGTTCTCCATTTTTCATTTGGATGAAATAATAGCTGCATGAATCATGACAGCAGACAAGATAGAGGAGAGCAGGAGGCGGGGTTACCAATCTACTCGCTCTGGAGAGCAGAGTTCGCTGCTTTTAGATGTTGTCTCCAAAGTCTCCAGTAGCAGAAAACAGTCTCTAGATTTGGCGCTAGGAGCTTTTTAGAAATCAAAGTGCTAGAGGGGTCTGAAAAGTGGCTAAATATAGCGACTAAAGCGCTAAGTTGGCAACACTGCTCTTTGCATGGTTTGTTTTCAAATGGTTTGCTGCTGTCTGTTTGGACCTTTCTGAACATGAGCAGCAATATCTGTCTATAATCCAGATGAAGCTAACCCATTACATAGATTACAGGCATGTCTGAAGACATAAAAACCTGGATGACTCTTAACTTTCTGCTTCTGAATGCAGACAAAACAGAAGTTATAGTCTTTGGACCAGAGTCTCTGAAAAAGAAGCTGATTAGTCAGTCACTTCATTTGGATGGGATTAAACTGATTTCAGATAATAAAGTAAAAAATCTTGGTGTTGTTTTTGATCAGGACCTGTCATTTAAATCCCAGATCAAAGAGGTTTCTAGAATTTCCTTCTTTCATCTGAGGAACATTGCAAAAATGAGAAATCTCCTGTCCAGGGTTGATGCTGAGAAACTAGTCCATGCATTTGTTACTTCAAGGCTGGACTATTGTAATTCTTTACTATCAGGAAGTCCACTGTAGTTAAAGTCCACTGTAGTTTTAACTGTAGTTAAAAGCCTTCAGCTGATCCAAAATGCTGCAGCCAGAGTTCTGATGAAAATGAAAAAGAGAGATCATATCTCTCCTATCCTGGCTTCTCTTCATTGGCTTCCTGTTAAATCCAGAATAGAATTTAAAATCCTCCTTCTCACATATAAAGCCTTAAATGGCCAAGCTCCATCTGATATCAGAGATCTGATTGTTCCTTATGTTCCTAACAGAGCACTTCGCTCTCAATCTGCAGGTTTACTAGTGGTTCCTAGAATTTCTAAAAGTAGAATGGGAGTCAGATCTTTTAGTTATCAGGCTCCTCTCCTGTGGAACCAACTACCAGTTTTAGTCCGTGAGGCAGACACCCTGTCTACTTTTAAGGCTAGGCTTAAAACTTTCCTTTTTGATAAAGCTTCTAGTTAGAGTGGCTCAGGTTATCCTGAGCTATCTCTATAGTTCTGCTGCTATAGGCTTAGACTGCTGGAGGACATAGGGACCCCTTTTTCATCATTCTGCTTCATTCTATCTCTATTCTCCCACTCTGCAGAATCTGTTAGTTCAATCTCTAACGTTCTGCTCTCTCTGCTTTTTCTCATAGTAGCTTCATCTGGTCTGTTCCTGTTTGGCTGTGACTCCATCCTGGAGAGAAATATCAGCTGTGCTGCTGCCATCAACACCTTTGTTTCTAGATGTTGGAGCTTGGCCTGTTTTCCAGTGTAGTCCTGTTTCTCTGACTGTGACTAACTGGATGTGCTCTCTTCATCCTCTGACATGGGAGCTGGCTCTGAGCTCGTCTGCCTGGCTGTGTGCTTCCTGGACGGGGCCGCCTGTGGAGCTGGTTGACAGTTGCCTTTTGTATCTATGCTTCTTTTTCTATGTCTGCTTTCAGTCTCCTTGAACCCCAGTGGGCCTCAGCAGATGGCCGCTCACACTGAGCCTGGTTCTGCTGGAGGTTTCTTCCTGTTCAAAGGGAGTTTTTCCTCTCCACTGTCGCTACAAGCATGCTTAGTGTGAGGGATTGCTGAAGAGTCAATGAGTCGATGCAATCAGCTGGTTTTCCTTAGATAGAAAACTTTGAATAGATCTGGTGAACTGGAAAGTGACCTGAGATGACATGATGTGAATTGGAGCTATAGAAATAAACTGAATGGAATTTAATTGAATGTTAAAGATCGATTCATCATCAACCAGTTTTTATTTTATTATTATTTTTTTTACTTAGTTTAGATTAAATTGCTGAGGATGGAAATAAAAACCATCAGTTGTTTTTTTTTAAATAAAGTTAGATTTTAATGTAAAACCGTAATATTCTACAAAATTCATCTGAGAAAATCAATCTGCATTAATTTTGTTTTATTCTGATTGTCTTTTTCTTTCTATGTTTGCAGCATTTGGACCTTTGACAACAGGTTCTAAAACGGTCCCATCAGTGACAGACAAACATGCACAAATGAGGGGTCAGTCAGCGGGTCCCACAGATTGAGAACCGGGCCCCCCGCGCTGACCCCGCCCCCGGCCCCTCCCTCAGTCACCCCTTCATATAGAGCAGCTGTTCGGCTCCTGAGCCTCGGTGTCGCATCCCAACTCCAAGCAAACCAACTTCCCAAGTTCTCCTCGAGTCCCGGAACCAAGGTAGATATCAGACCCATGAAGCCCAGGAGCATCAGCAGCTCCCAGTCAGGAACTTTTGGACCAATCAGCTGCTTCCTGCAGCCGCTCCAAACCAGAAGTTCCTCTGCAGGTTTTCAGCTGCTGATGAACATCTGAGCTTCTTTTCTCTGCATGTTTGAAATCAGCCGAGTGGTTCTGCTAAAAACCAGGAGAATTTATTCTCTGGATTTGCAGAAGAAAAGTTTTAAAATCCTGATTGGATGATTGGAGCCCAGAGCTGCAGCTGATTCTGCAGAACCAGCTGGGTCTGTGGATTCTGAAGAATCTCAGAAACTCAAAATCCACGCTTGAAGTCCATTGTGCATGAATGTTTTAACGCTGCAGAGATTTTCATTTTATTTCGGTTTAATCTGAAACTATTCAGGAAACCTTTAAAGTCAGAACTTGGAGCAGAAGATGATTCAGTTCTGATTGGAGCTTCAAACCGGATCTTCGGGGATCTTCTTGTGCAGCTCAGATCAGATCAGACTGTTGGATGTTTGACCCAAATGAACCGACTGATTCATGAAACCTGCAGAAAACAATGCATTGTTTTTCTTTCCTAAATAAGCAGGAACTTCTAGATCTAGTTTCCAAAATCAGAATTTTGGTTTTCTTTGATTCTGTTTTCATGAATAAAGGCATCATGAGGGCCGAGCTTAAGGTTCCTTGATCAGTTTTCTGATGGTGGATCTACAGATGCATGGATATTTTATCAGAGACTAGAAGCCTTTTGGTCTAGAGTTAGATTTGCTAACATCAGGAGGAGGATCAGAAGGTTCTAGATCAAACACACCAGGTTCTACTGGTTGCATCATCTCCTCGTTCTGCTGCCTTGCAGCTAGAAACAGCAGCAAGGATCCTGATTTTAAAAGCACACCTGATCCAAGGTGGTCTGTGCAAAGCCTAAAGGTCCAAACGTTCTCCTGGCTGAGCTGGATGAATCTGGAGGTTCTTTACATTCATGCTTCTGGGTTTCCTGGTTTTTGATCGATCTCTACCTGAACATCCCAGTTTATCAGGAAACAGCCTGAAGGGTCAGCAGAACCCAAACCGGGATCCTAATAATACTTCAGGCAGCAGGAGGTTAAAGGGGGGGGGGGGGGATCTCCTGCTGACCCTCAGCTGCTGCCGGCGCCGCGACACCAAATACCAGCAGCTGTAAAATTAGCAGGCGAGCCGAGTTCCAAAAGCTTAGAGAACCTGAAGAACGTCCAGAGAACCAGATCGGGTGTCTGATGAGGGGGGGTTTAAATCCACTAATGGGTTTCTACTCCGGGTGGGGGGGGGGCACAGGATCTCAGATGGATGTTTATCACAGAAATGTTTGTTTATTCATGATCAGTCTACAAACAAAAGATCTATATCCAGCAAAGATCCTGCTACATGGCTGAACATCTTATTTTGGCATTTGACCGATTAGATGCATTGCAAAGATTATCTAGAAATAAGTAAAAATGTCTTAAATCTAGAATATTTAACCTTATTTTTAGCAGGTAAATGGGATGATTTGCCAATGGAATTAATATTTTACTCTTAAAATGAGATGATTACATAATATGCACTTGAAATAATACAATGCAATTGCTTTTTCTTATTTTAAATGTAAATTGTCTTGTTCCGTTGGCAAAGTGTCTCACTTACCTCCTCAATTCAAGAAAAAATGCACTTATTTTAAGAAAAAAAATGACTTATTTAGATTTCACTTTTTTCGCAGTTTGAGCCAATGAATGATATATTATCTACTGGAAATTAAGTTTAAAAAAAAAGTTAACAAGTCAAGCAAAAGCGTAAAAAGCAAATTGAAAAGTTAATAAGCCAAGTTAACAATTATATTTAGGTGTATATTTTAAAAATGTAGGTGCAGTATCAGCATTAATGCCTCTAAGGTTATGTTGAGCCAAACATTTTTTATTTCTTTCACTCTCAGAGTGTTTTTCATTGATTTCTTATAGAATCACTTTTGTTATTTTTCTTAATATATTCTGCCATCAAAATATTCATATTTTTTGAATGTTTGAAAGGTAATAAGCTTCCTGTCCCATAGTCTCTATAAAGGGTTAAAAGTTGAAGATGTTCACCGATTTGTATCCAATAAAATGTCTCCTGATTGATTGTGACGATGGGCGGAGCCTCTGGGCTCTACTGGTTCCCTTCCTTCCTGTTCTGGCAGAACCACCATCGGTCCAGGCGGACCGGGATGGTTTGATAAACAGACCGCAGGAAGGTTTGGTTTGTGGCCATTAATGGATGGATGTTTCTCTGCAGCCTCCTCAGCAGACATGGAGAGAACCTTCATCGCTGTGAAGCCCGACGGCGTCCAGAGAGGACTGTGTGGCGAGATCATCAGGCGCTTCGAGCAGAGAGGCTTCAAGCTGGTCGCCGCTAAATTTGTGCAGGTAACAAACTAGAACCAACACATGACCTGGATGGAGAGCAGGGTTCAGAGTCCCCCCTGATCCAGCTGAGGACAGAGCTGACATCTTTCCATCCTGATGCTGATTGGTCCCTGACTGCTGCTTCAGGGGGGACTCAGTTCCTCCGGTCCGGTTTCATGACGTAAACATGATGTGATCGGTTCTGACTGAGGTTCTGATCTCCTCTCTGCCTCCAGGCCTCTGAGGACCACATGAAGCAGCACTACCTGGACCTGAAGGACATGCCTTTCTACGCAGGACTCTGCAAATACATGTCATCTGGACCAGTCTTCGCCATGGTAACGCAAACACAAACACATCTGCAGATTTCTTCTTTTTTTCCCCGCTGCGTCAGCCGCCTCTTCACACCTGCTGCTCTTCAGGGTCTCAGCTGCTTTAGTCCCATCAAACCTTCAACAGGAAGTTATGGTCAGTCACAGAGGACAGCTGCTGTTCACGGCGGGGTTCATTAGAGTCTGCGAGGGGCCAGCTGTCAGGGTCAGAGAAGAGAAACCGGGGTGGGGTAGCCTCAAACATCCGCTCCAGTCCGGATCCCTCAGCTGAGCAGGTTCTGCTGCTATAGAGACGGTTCAATAAGATCTTTCAGTAATAGATTACTTTTAGGGAATAGAACTTAAAAGTGACAGACTCAGACAGTCCAACTGTGTCCAATTAAAAACAGAAAGAAAAGGAGGTTCAAAATTTCTCCAGATTTCTGTTGGTTCTTTGAATCTACCCAGTAGATACAGATGTAGCTGTTTCCTTCAAAATATTCGTTTTCACCAGTGGAGCAGTACGGCTATCGCCATAGTGTTCCGCTTGATTTATGCATAGAAATAGCTTTATTATTATTCATGCAGGGAGTTTTACAGATTATATGGACACTGCAATGTAAGTAGAGCAGGAAAGGAAAAACAGGAAAAATGAGAAAAGATGAAAGACAGAGGAGATAAAAGGGAGATTATGATAAAACATCTTCAATCTGCTTCATCGCCTGCAAAGAGATGTAAAAAGAACAGAACAACCAACGGATATAAGAGATACAATAAAGTAGCACCTTGATACTGTGGCTGAAGTGTAGGTAGTATTATTTAATCTGCTTCCTCTACCGTGCTTCAATGGTCACTGGAGCTTCTTTCCCACCGTAAATAGCGGGTTAACGCGTATATTTAACGTGGTTCTATCCGCTAACATTTAGCATTTGGCTACCTTCCTACTGGCAGAAAAAGCTGGTCTAACCCTCGCTGCGTGGCCTCTGCCCCCCCCAACCACCCCCACTGATCCGTGTCAGTTGACACCATAGGGCTGGATTAGCACTGATGATGTCAAATCAGGAATGTAAACAATGGAGAGCAGCATGGAAGGAAGCCAGGGCGTTGTCAGTGAGCTTTATTGTTTCTCTCTATTATCTGAATCCGTCTCACCAGAGCTGCTCCATGTTAATCCAATGGAAACAGAGTTGATTCTGGTTGTTAGATCAGGAACGACTGGCGCGGCGTGTTGACATCCGTACGATGTGTTCATTGGCATCACGTAATTTTAAGAGTCGACCCGGCTCTGGTGTTCCCACAGCCTGCCGATCAGAGCCGAGGAGATTTTAACGTCGCTCGCTTGCAGACACGTGTCAGTGAGCTGTAAGGCCCTTTATAGTATCAGTCCCAAATCACTCTACTCTCACCACCGTGCTTCTCTACAGAGATTCTACTTTTGAACATCTTTTTCTAGACTGTAAGATAGTTTTTAAATATGTTTCAATAATCCTCGCAGGATAAAAACAAACAAAACCATAGCTGTTAATTAAAGTGCTTAAAGTAAAGTTATTTGTTTCATGTCATTTATTCTATTATACATTTTTTTAAATTTAAAAAAGGGCTGCTGAGTGGACTGTGGGAAGCACAGCTGCCTTGCAGCAAGAAGGTTCCGAGTTTGATTCCCAGCCCGAGTCTTTCTGCCTGGAGTTTGCACATGAGTGTTTCTACAGAATGAGAGAAAATGAAGAGCTGAGAGGCTCAGCAGGTGACGGATGTTTCCTGTGTGCCGCAGGTTTGGGAGGGTCAGAACATTGTGAAGCTGGCCAGGATGATGCTGGGTGAGACCAACCCCGCCGACTCCAAGCCCGGCAGCATCCGTGGAGACCTGTGCATCAACATCGGCAGGTGAGGAATCCAAAGCTACGCTCAACAAGAGCTCCTTTATGTGACCTTTCAACTTTGCTGCTGCAGAGAAGCGCATCAGAGCAAACATTAACAGACCTAAAGATAAACCTGGAAAATTTCACCAAAGAATAAAAAGCTCATTTATTTATGACCTTTATTTCAACAGTTAAACGTCATTAAGATCCAAATCTATTTTCCAAGGCAGCACATAGCAGCATTAAAACTAGTTTAAGAACCAGAATGCAGGAGTCAGATCCCATCATTTAAGGTAAAAGTGAAAAAACGGACCTGGATAAACTGATGAAAATATTACTGCAGATAATTTATTTTTTTAAATGCTGAAAAAATTAACCCTTTCCTCAAAATAAATAAAAGCATTTATTTTTGTACTAGAAAAAAGAATCCAGTAAGAATTTGTTCCTGTTATTTTGAAAAAAAAAAAGTGACAAATATTTCCAAAATAAAAAAAAATTATAACTGAAACACGAAAAAAAGGTCCTATTTTCTTAAAGCAATCAAATATTCAGTCAGGACATTTATTTAAATGAGTCTAAATATATAATTAAGATAAATTATGAAAATCTAAAAGAAAATTAACAATTAAAATGTTTTCTGATACAAAACTGCTACAAAAATGTAAACAAAACAAAATAAACATTACTTTGATGATGAAAGTATAAAGAGGAACCGTCTGGACCTGCTTGTCTCCTCAGGAACATCATCCACGGCAGCGACACCCTGGAGAACGCCAAGACGGAGGTCGGCCTTTGGTTCAAGCCCGAGGAGATCGTGAGCTGGACCCCCTGCGCCCAGACCTTCCTGTACGAGTAAACCACGCCCACCAGTCTGTTAACCCCGCCCATCAGTCTGTTAATCCCGCCCACCAGTCTGTTAACCCCGCCCACTCTACAGTCGATCCTTCTTGGTCCCCATCAGCCCCACCGATGGTGCAGGATTGATCAATAAATGTTCATGTTGACCACAGAGTGTCTGGTTGTCGGATTTTTGGACAAACGTCCTGCAAAAGATCTCGCTGCGACATAAACCATGAATCCCGTCAGCGGCTGACCCGAACCAGCCGATAACGACCCTCAGTAACGTCACTCAGTCAAACACAGATATATTTAATTTAGTCTGTAATATGAGGAAAATTTGGCTTATTTCTAAAAGTCATATAATTACCATAACATTCATAAATATCACTTTTCTAAACCAAATATTCAATTTAATTAAATATCCATTTAGCGAGCTAACTACTTACCTTCAAATTAAGTCCAGTTCCATTCTAGGTGTTTGGGTCCAAATTAACTACTTGATTAAAAAACGTAATATTTACCGTCATATAAAATGCTTGGTATACAAAATAAATATTTAGATTTAAAAATAAACAATTATTAATTTATTTCACTAACGAAATACTAAGCTTCAAACTAAATATTTAGTTAAGTATTAATTAAATATAAGGTTTAGTGATTGCTTAATAAGGAAGATATTTAGTTTCTAAACAAAATAATTATTTTTTGGCAAAATGAATAATTTTAGATTTGACCTTAACATCATGATTGGAACCAAATATTTAATTTAAAGCAAAGTATTTAGTTAGATAAAAAAAAATTAATCAAGTTAAAAATATATTTTGTTTGACCTAATATTTAACCTTTAAATGTTTGATTTTTGATTTGTTTAATAAAT